TTTTTTTTAAAGATCTCCAGAGGTGTATTAGCAGTGTTTGCACACACTTTGTGATATATATCTGTGAAAACTCTCTAGCTCTGGGCGTCGGCTCCTCTGCAGATTAGTTCCAGCTTCTCATCCAATATTTATGTCATTACTCAGTTGTTGATCCAGGTTCCAGAGGTCCTCTGGGACTCCAAAATTTGAACTTTTCCAGAATAATGGACCAGTTTTTAGAAGTTGGACTTCTTTATTTTAAAAGCAAAACTACAAGTATTAAAAAAGTAAATTCTTCTTCTTTCCGGTTCTCCCTCTTCGGGGGTCACCACAGTGAGTCATCCTCCTCCATCTCACTCTGCCCTCAGTCCAACTACCTCCGTGTCCTCTCTGCATCCATATATCTCCTCTTTGGCCTTCTTCCTGGCAGCTGCATTTCTAACATTCTTCTACCAATATACCCACTGTCCCTCCTCTGGACATGTCCAAACCATCTCAGTCTGGTCTCTCTAACTTTATCTCCCAGTTGTTCAACCTGTGCTGTACCTCTGATGATCTCATTCCTAATCTTATCCATCCTTGTCACTCCTAAGGAGAACCTCAACATCTTCATTTCTAACACTTCCAGTTCTTTCTCCTGTCTTTTTGTCCATGTCTCTGTTTCCAGACCATACAATATAGCTGGTCTTACCACTGTCTTGTAAAATTTTCCTTTGATCTTTGCTGACACCCTTTAGTCACAAATCACTCCTGAAACTTTTCTCCATCCACTCTATCCTGCCTGGACTCTCTTTTTTCACCTCTTTACCACACTCCCCATTTTCCTGGACAGTGGACCCCAAGTACTTGAATTCCTGCACCATTGTGACCTCTGCTCCTTGTAGCCTCACTGTTCCACCAGACCCCCTCTCATTCACACACATGTACTCTGTCTTACTACAGCTGACTTTCATTCCTCTTCTTTCAAGTGCATACCTCCACCTCTCCAAGTTCTCTTCCACCTGTTCCCTGTTCTCACCACAGATCACAATGTATTAAAAAAGTCAAATGGTAGGACTTTTTAGGGCAAAATTAACACAGATTTAATGGCAGCTCCCGCAGAGATTACAAATTTGTTCAGAGCATCTTTTTATGAACAGATCTATAAGAGTTAATAAATTCAATCAATTCTGAAATTGCAAAGCATTATGGTCTTTTTCCACTGATGTAGTGTGCAACTTCTGTACACTACTTTTACAGTACTGTATGATAAATCTATACGACACTTTAAAGTGGAAGATGCAAAAAGTAAAAAAAAAACAAAAAAACAATTGGATAACTATTCTGTAGATGATGATATTTACTTTCCCATCCAGAAAGCATCCTCAGTTCAAATTTGAAGCATGTGGAGCTGAACATGATGAATGCAACATCAGATATGAATCAAACTGAGATGTTGGTTGACAGCTGGTTTACCTTGAGGAAATGACACGTGTCAGACTCAGACTCGCTTTACTGTCATTTAAACTATTACATAATAAAAACAAGGACTTAGTATACTATGATTAAAAACAAACAAACAAGGATTCCTGATACACAGCCTTAGGGTACTCCTGCTGAGACATCACTGGATGTCCCAGAAACAGTGCAAAGGCACATTTCTATACTGTAACTTGTCCACCTAGATGATACCTCAAAGAAAAAAAAAAAGTAGCTGCATTGCACTTAAAATTATTTTGAAAACAAAAAGTTGACCAATCAAGGCAAACCTAACCCTAAAATAAAC